GCGAGCGAGAGGGTGGACCTTGCACGTGCGAAATTGCGAGGGGGTACGTCCAACTGACTTGTGACGGCACCCTTCTAACCGCAAATTTGGGCACAATCAGCCCAGCCGTTCTCGAGATCTGGAAGCGGCACCCTGCACGTGCGCACGTGCAAAATGGGTCCCAACTGACTTGTGCACGGCACCCTACTAAATGGTCCCTAACCGTGTACCAAATTTGAGCGCAATCGGTCGAGCCGTTCTCGAGATCTGGAAACGACCCCTGCACGTGCGCACGTGCAGCAGCACCCCAAACCCTGGCACATGGATATGCAGTGCCTAGTGGTCGCCTACCTACATGCCAACTTTCAGCGCAATCGGCCACGTAGTTACCGAGATATTGCAACAATTACAAAACTGACACTTCTTCGTTTTGCACGTGGCACGTGCATAAGGGGTCACCCACATGCATCAGGAATAGTCCAATACTTGGTAGAAGAAATGAAGCTACCCTACAAAAATTACCGCATGTAAATCGTTCTAGTGGTTACTGAGATATAAGCCTCGCAAAAGCGTCCGCAAGGCCGGCCGCTCATACTCAGAAATTTCCGTTAAATAAAAAGAATTCGCTTCGCTCGCTGCGCTCGCTCGCTCGTAATAACGGAGCTACGGAAGCAAAAGCGGTACCAAGCGAAAGGACTTTAGGAGACGATTCTAAAGCACCTATTTTTTTACCTCTGGCCATCTTTCAAGGTCAGAGGTCAAGGTCAAAGACACATGTGCACATGTGTAGTGATCTCAAAATAAGCGCTCCAGAGGACAGCAGGATGCACAAAACAGACTAAAACCAGTAAAACGCCTTTTGGGCGAAGAACGAGCGAGCGAGATAGTGAGCCCTGCACGTGCGCAGGGGCGAGAGGGTACTTCCAACGGGCTTGTGCAAAGCACCCTTCTAACCGGTCACTAGCGGTGTGCCAAATTTGAACGCAATCGGCCCGGCCGTTCCTGAGATCTGGAAGCGGCATTCTGCACGTGCGCACGTGCAAACGAGGTCCAAACTGACTTTTGCACGGCACCCTACTTACTGGTCCCCAACCGTGTACCAAATTTGAGCGCAATCGGCCCAGCCGTTCCCGAGATCTGGGAGCGCCCCCTGCACGTGCGCACGTGCAGTAGCACCCCAGACTTAACCCTCGCCCGTATAGGGGGGGGGGGGTTCGAACGGACCCCCCCATGGTTTTTCGCGAATAACTCGCGTAAAAAGCGGTCGATCGCGACGAAACTTTCAGTACCCTCGCGTTCATCAATTTCACACCTACTCTGAAAATTTCATGACCCTGACCCAAATGACCTTTGACCTGTGACCTACTTTTCGAGACCATGTTTGGCTGGAATCGCGATTCGGCATATGTCGGCTCGCATTAGCCGCGCGTTTGCAGTCTTTTCGTGGTTTCAAGCGTTCAAACATGTGATATGATGTTGCCCCCATGCATTAGGGTGGATGTCCAGGTCACCTGAAGGTCAGGTCAGGTCATTGACCTTTGATGACCTCGGTTCACTTTTCCGAGTTTTACATGTTCCTAGGCCAGTTTTTGGAGCTGAATTCGAATTTAGCAACCATATGAGCATTTACGAAGTAGTTTTGGTGCCTTCGTAACATGTTACGAAGCTGTCAGAGGCGGTTGCCACCTACTACGAATACCCTTACTGGTTGACCTGACCTGACCTGACCCGACCTGGCCTAAATACATGAAGACATCATCTGTGATCAAAACTAACATGATATTCGTGATCAGCACCCCGAAAAACCCCACATCAGCAACACTTTACGACGTTCTAACAGGTCCCGATTTTCCCGCCTTTGGGGTCATTGACCTGACCTGCAAGGTCAACCAATGACTTAGGACCTTAAAATTGGGTATCATCGGCTTTCTCTCGTCACGGGCAACACGCTCGTTTTTTCCGCGAAGCTCTAGCTCGATCAGGGGCGAAACGGCAAGGGGGGGGGGGGTCCAACGGACCCCCCCCCCTTATACGTTCGCGGCTGGAAAAACACCAATACGGGCGAGGGTTAACACATGCAGATGAATTATCTGATGGAGACCTGTGTGCTGAGTTTCAATTCAATCGGCCCAACCGTTGTGCCGTTATTGAGGTTGCTATTTTGGGGGTTCTTAAAAAATGTCCAACTTTGCCACGCGCCACGTGCGGTGGTTGGCAAGAACGCATGGTGCCATCACACCACATAACTTTTACGTCCAAGTGACATTCAGTAAAGAAGACCGCTTGTCAATCGGATGTCCCGTTCCTAAGATATTATCTTTTGAAGAGCGCCCCCACGGCCGACCGGCCGGCCGCTCATACTCAGGATTTTCCCTTAATTTTTCAGTATGAACTCGCTCGCTCGCTGCGCTCGCTCGCTCGTAATGAGAATGAAATGAGCGAAGAGGATCTGAGGATTCCGATGATGAGCCCAACATCAACCCTCGCCGGCCGAGGGGGGGGGTGTCCCCCCCCACCACCACCACCATAGGATTTTTTCGCGATAGCTCCGAACACGCTGGCGACAGAGAGCTGAAACTTGGCATACCTGACCTTGGATTCAAGCCGGATCTTTTGACACCAACCGCATTTTTGGGTCAGGTCAGGTCACTGACCTATGACGTCACAAGTGAACCTCTGCACGGTCTTCAGATGTCGCAACTTCGCAACGCCCTCACTGCCAGAGGAGATGTCACAGGAAAATGAAACTTGCATGATCTAGTATCCATTATGAGTCCCACAACTTGTATATCTCGGATTTTTCCTTAAGGTCATATGAGGTCAGGTCATTTTCGTGACCTCACCATTATAAGTCAATGGGGAAAAATGAGAACTGCTATTCTGGCGCCGGGAATGATCTCCAACTATCTAAAGCACACAGAATCGTAATTTGATGCACTCCTTGCAAGGTAAGATGCTTCACTTTTGCAATGTTGACCTTGCGTGACGTCATTTATGACGTCATCAAGGTCATATTAGTTTTTCGTCAATAACTCGCGATCAAATTGAGCTAGCGAGTCAAGTAAGCCATCAATGGACTCAGGAAGACCTGCCGAATCGAATGATACCTATAAACATGACCTCTTTTGACCAGCTTCGTGACCTGGGGGCGCTGGCCTGACCGTGACCTGAGGTCAACACCCTAAGTTGACCTGACCCAAACAAAACGTATATCATTCGACGCTCCCTGAGCAAGACGAACACGATGCTGCCAAAATCGCGGCTCTGCGGCCGTTTTTTGCGAAGTTATTCACCAAAAACTGAACCGTACCTTGGGGCACTTGACCTGACCTCACAGGTCACCCGTTGACCTAGGATCTAAAAATCGGGTACCAATCTCTGTGTCTCGTAGCGGCGCACACGCTCGTTCTTTCTGCGACGCGCTAGCTCCACCAGGGGCGAAACGGCGAGGGGGTCGTACGCGCCCTCCCCTCCCCCCTCCGCCGGCGCGTACATATGTAGAAAACCAATAGGTCCGGCGAGGGTTAAAAAAACAAACTCACAACTAACATCTAAAAACTGACATCTTTAAGGACGTCAGTTAGTTTGGTGACTGGTTGTTAACTGTAGGTTTGTTAATTGTTTTCAATCGTTTAAACACTGCTCGTTAGCATTGTGTTTTTTCTGCTGAAAAACAAAATGGGTTCCCTGATAACTATGCAAGAGCTGCCTGAGCCTGACATCAGTCTTAACCTTCGCCCTGGTGGGGGGGGGGGCCATTTTGGCCCCCCCTGTGGTTTTTCAGCGATAACTCAGAAACCACTTGAGTTAGCGCCCTGAAACTTTGTATAGCTGTTTATTCAACATTTTTACATCATGTCCTTTTTTGGGGGGTTCGGGTCAGGTCAGGTCAGGTCACAAGGTCACCAAAACTGACACCACCTCTAAAAAAGTTCAAAGCTCTCTCAAAGGCACAGCTTTTATCCGATCGATGTAAAATTTACAGTACTTGAAGATGTCACCCAGCTCTACAAAATGGCTATCTCGGATTTTTTATAAATGTGACCTAAGGTCAGGTCAGGTCATCGCTGCTCCCCATTATAAGTCAATGGGAGAATCGAAAAGTAGTTGTTTTTCAGCTAAATCGGGCGTGATTGTTCCTATATTTCGTTATTGAAGTGTCTTGGGTCAGCAAATCACAGCCCATGTGAAACCAGTTGCTTGTGACCTCGCTGAGGTCACGCTAGGTCATCTCCCTGGTCACCAGAGGTCACCAGCGGTTTTTCTGCACTTACTTGTTATTGAATAGAGATAGAGACTCCGTTCGACGTTTATCGTGTTTGTCTCGTCAATGCGGATCGAATGATATGCAGCATGACCTATTTCGGTAAGGTCATGACCTTGACCTGAGGTCAAATTTTCAAAATGACCTTTCGAGGTCAAACTATATATCATTCGACGCGTCTCGACGAGCCAAGCACGATGGTGCATGAATCGTTTCTCTATTTTCTCGTGAATGCATGCTATAGTTAAAAACATTTTCAACGAAATTTGCCAAGTTGACCTTGCATGACCTCTGTAGGCCAAACCGTTGAGCTGAGGTCAAATCTGACGAACCTTGGCGAAAGAGCTTGAAAAGAGCTATCGATTGCTTTTTTCCGCGGCTCTCTAGCTCTTCTAGTTTCCGAGCTACAGCGGAATATGTCCGGCAACACCGAAAACACTGAAATTTGACCTATGATGACCTCTAGCGACCTCAATATTGACCTTAGCGAAAAAATGACCGAAATACTTTCGAACGTACTTGTTATGGGCTTTCGTTTGCTTTTTTCCGCGTCTTCCTAGCCCTCTTCGTTTTCGAGTTAGACGGGGGGGGTCATTTTGGCCCCCCCCCCCACCAGGGCGAAAGTGGCTCAGACCCACACCAGGGCGCGGGTTAATTTGCGATACAAGGTAAAGTTCCTTGTGAAATGTAGACATGTCCCCAACAGACAGGCAGCTCCGACGGTGTGAATGACGTGTTAGCTTCCGGGAACTTGCAGTTTCACGGCCCTCGCGGCACTGGGCAAGGTCAGAGCCGACGCCCCTGTCCCGTATATAAGGTGCAGCAGGCGCACAGCCGACACACACTCACTGGTCTACTCTCCCAGCAGACGGAGCAACAACCAACCGCAGAGATGAACGCCAAGCTTGCGGTAAGCATTCCTTTGCTTGACTAAAAAATTGATACCGACGATATGCCTGTAATGTTAATATATTTCGATGTTAACATGTATGTGCAGTTTCCTTTTGTGACCATCGAGATAAGACATGACGTCGATTCAATCAGTGAACTGAAATATGTCCTTTCTACTTTCAGCTGCTGATGCTGGCTGCCCTGGTGGCGTGCGTCTCTGCCTCCCACCCTGGATACGGATACGGTGGATACGGTGGATACCACCGTGGATACGGACACGGTCTGAGCCACGGATACTCCGGATACCGTTATCGCCGTTCTCTGGGCTACGGACACGCTGGATACGGCTACGCTGCCCCTAGCTACGGATACGCTCCCCGCTCTTACGGATACAGCAGCTACGGACACGGCCTGAGCCATGGCTACGCCGGTCACCGTCACCGCCGTTCTCTGGGCTACGCCAGCTACGGTCACGGATACGCTGCCCCTAGCTACGGATACGGATACGCTCCCCGCAGCTACGGATACTCCAGCCATAGCTACGGCTACGCTCCCGTCAGCTATGGCTACGGCCATTAGATCGTGTTCTTTCTGTTTATGAATCGTTGTTCGTTTTAATCCATCGCAAACTAAGCGTAATGCAGTATTCAGCGAAAAAGACAAGAGACATGCTTTCATGTGACATCTCTTACATTGTGAAATACATATAAAACTACAGAATAAAAGTATTTTTATTTTTATGAGCAGTGAGCACTGTAATTACGGAGCGAGCAAAGCGAGCGTAGTCTTTTGCAGATTAACGGAAATTTTTTAGCATGAGGTCCTGGGGCCTTGAGCATGAGCGGGCGGCCGGCCGTGCGGACGCTTTTGCGAGGCTTATAGGTATCTTACCAACCACTTGACCGATTTACATGCGGTAATTTTTGTAGGGTAGCTTCATTCCTTCTACCAATTATTGGACTATTCCCGATGCGTGTGGGTGACCCCTTTGCACGTGCCACGTGCAAAACGAAGAGGTGTCAGTTTTGTAACAATGGCAATATCTCGGTAACTACATACTGGGTCGATTGCGCTGAAAGATGACATGCAGGTAGGCACCCACTAGGCAATGCAGTGGCGGCTGAAGCGGTATACCTTGGCTCAGATGAGACGGAATATTTCACTTTTTTTGCAAATGTTTTCGTTTCGATTTTTCGTTGTAAAGGCAAAGGGGTGAAAAATAAGTGGCCTAAAACCGGTGAGAAAACTAGATTTGGGGGTACCCTAGGTTCCGGGAAGGATCAGGTGTGCCCCCCCCCCTCCATCCCAAATTACCTTCCGCCGCCTCTGAGGCAATGCATGTCCATGTGTCACAGTTGGGGTGCCGCTGCTCGTGCGCACGTGCAGGGGTCGATTCCAGACTTCGAGAACGACTGACCCGATTGCGCTGAAATTTGTTATATGGTTAGGGACCGTTTAGTAGGGTGCCGTCAGCCGTGCAAAATTCAGTTGGGACCCATTTCGCACGTGCGCACGTGCAGAGTGCCGCTTCCAGATCTCGAGAACGGCTTGGCCGATTGCACTCAAATTAGGCACGTCGCTAGGACCGATTAGCAAGGTGCAGTGCACAATTTAGCTAGAGGTACCCCCTCGCAATTTCGCACATGCAAGGCCCACCCTCTCGCTCGCTCCGTTGGTCGCCCCAAAAGGCGTTTTACTGGTTGTATTATTTACCGATTTGCGTCGCCGCGGATTATATCATGTATCCGGTGATGTTAACCCGCGCCCCGCTGGGGGGGGGGCAGAATCTGCCCCCCCTCCCGTTTTTCGCCAATAACTTCTAAACGCGTTACGCCAGCGACGTCAAACTTTCAGTACCTTATCATACATCAATTTGACATGTTCCCTGAAAATTTGAGCGAAATCCGTCGGAAAATTTTTGAGAAATTGACGTTTTAGTGACGTCATGTTCGCCATTTTCGCCTCAAAAACGGCAAAAGTTCAAACGCCGCTAACATCTTCATTTTTAAAGGAATCAAGACGTAACAAAAAAGGTTATACGTGATTCTACTTTGTCTATCAAATGGCTATCTCGTTTTTTTGAAAATTTTGGATTTTGGCCAAAATTTTTCCAAAAAACTGACTTTTTAGGGAAAATATTTATAAAATCCAAAATTTTGAGTTTATCGAAAAAACCGGAATATATGTCAAAGAAGTGGTCTATGTGCACCTACATACAAATTTTTAGAAGAATCGGTTCAAAAATGTGGGAGTTATTCAAAATTTTATGACGTCACGACACACAAAATTTTTGAAAAATGATTTTTTTGGAAGTTCTAGACCTCGTACGGAAACAAAAATAGCACAATTCGATTCGCCGTGAAAAACTGCATCGAATAGACACCTTTTTAGGCCTTAACAATCAACTTCAAAATTTGACCTCACTTGACCTGACCTTGACCTGACCTCGACCTGAAATTCATCCAGAGGTGGTCCATATCACTTATTGAGTGTGCCTATTGAATTCCATGAGTAAAATGACCCATAAAACATGTGTCGCACATGCCCTTTTCTATATTTTGTTTTTGGTGACCTGACCTGACCTGACCTGACCTTGACCTTGACCTTTGAATGACATTGTGTGCAGCGAATATTGTCTTGGTAGTCTAAGAACACGTTTTGGGCAATCAGTCTCAGTCCATTCTTCGGCAACTACGGTGCAAGGCCGATACTGTAGAAACTTGCATTTTGTACCCTTGACCTGACCTTGACCTGACCTCTGACCTACTTAAGCAAAAAAAATTGGGCTCTTAAGATCCGCCTTGTTGAGAGCTTTCGATTGCCGTTTTCCCCGTCTTTCTACGACCATCGGTTCGGAAGTTAGACAGGGGGGGCAGAATCTGCCCCCCCCCCCCAGCAGGGCGCGTATGGCTGAATAGCCCAGCGGGGCGCGGGTTAATGCAGTTCCGACAAATAGCACTCCTCATCTCACAACACTTTTCGGGAACCTTCAGCTCAACCTTGCTATCTGAGGTTGTGGGGTATGGTCATGCAGGCTGCATATCAAACGACACGCCTTAACCAGGCGAGCAGTTTGGTGCCTTTTACCTTTTTCTGAGGTAAGGTCACTTGACGTGACCTAGTGACCTGACCTTGAATGACTCAGGTCTGAGATTTTCACATGTGCGGAAAAGATGTATGAACATGTGTACCAAAGCGCCGCAGTTATTTTTTTTTTTTAATATTCGCGAAAAACCTGGGGGGGGGGGGGCGTAAAAACGCCCCCAAGCACGGCGCGGGTTAACCTTGATTCTTTGCCGTGATAATCGGCCGAAGACGACGAACATACGCGCGACGTCATTTCGACCGACCTATTGAAGCTAATAAATTTTCCTGCGCACACAGCCTGAAATAGATGCAGGCGCAGCCGCCGATAGTTCGCGTTGATACGCTGCGAGAAGTTGAGAAGATATCGAAAAAAAACAGGGGCTCTGTAGAACCCCCGTCGTAGGCGGGTTATGTTCACTGCTTAGGGCAAGAACGATGAATTCAAATTTCAAGACCAGCTAGTGTTCAAAGGGAACGAAACAGTCAGTTAAATAGGTGCTAGAATAAATAAAGAATAAAGAATAAATACTATGACAAGATGAGGGAAAGGTTTACAACTAGGGTAGACCGGGGCAAGTCGCCCTGACGAGGTAAAACGCCTTTCCGATGTTTCTCGTAACTGGCAAGGTTCTGGGGAACCATCCTCTCTTCTATAAAACGTGACCTATATGATTATAACCAATATGCAGGGGCGGTCGCAGACTTGGAGTTTGGGGGGGGGGCAACTTGGCAAAGGGGCCCCTGCGCTGGCCCGGGGGGCCCGGTGCTAGCTTAAAGGGGCCCACGGGCGTAGTGCACGGGTGCAGAAATACAGGCCATGGCCGGTGAAGCGTCAAGCGGGGGGGGGGAGGGGTAGGGAGCGGCACCCGAGGCTCATTGCGAGCTTTGAGGGTGTACCATGTCGAAAAGGTACCGATAAGTGCATTTTGAAGCATTGATTATGTCAATAATTCACGCAACTGTGAATGAACTACCGCAGAAGTAAAGGCGGCTAACTGCCATTTTCTAAGATCATCGTGCTAAAACTTTTGACAGTGGGTCATCGGTATCTGTTCACTGTTCAATTACATGTGTTCCGTTTCATCTTTTTGTTTTACTTGAGCACAAATGTAAGTTTTGAAGACCATTAGCAAATGCTTCGAAAGATGGATAGTGGGCAAAATATCCTAAATTTGTCGTGCTGCATGGAAAGTAGTGTTGCTGAGAAAAGGGGCTTCGTTCCAGATTATTGTGGATGCAGAATGCATTGTCTGCAGTCTGCACCCACTGCAGAATTTTTGTTGGTGCAACTGCGCCCACTGCACCCATGGTTCCTACACTTATGGGCCCATCGATAGCGCTTCGGAGCCCACTGCACCCATGGTTCCTACACTTATGGGACCATCGATAGCGCTTCGGCGATACCTATCGCCTAAAGGCTGCAACAGGGCCCTTAGAGTACGGTGTCAGACCCCCCCAGAGGCCGGCGTTGGACCCAAGGGTCAGCGAAGGGCCTCAAAGGCCCCAGGTAGGGCCCCAGAGGCTGATGTGGGCCTTCAGAGGGAAGCGCGTGACGCCCAAAGGTAAGGCTTGAGCCCCCAGAGAACATAAGAGGGCCATCGGTGGCCGGTGTAGAGACCTCATAGGCCAGTTTGGGACCCCCTCAGAGGCTAGTGTGGGGCCTCAGGTGTCGGTATGAGGCACTTAAAGACCGTTATGGATCCTCAGAAGCCGGCATCGATCCTTCAGAAGCCAGTACGGGGCCCTCAGAGGCACATAAGGGTCAGTTTGGGTCCCAGAGACAGAAATGGGACCATCAGAGGCCGGTGTGGGACCTTTAGAGGCTGAGTTGGGCCCTTAGGGCCAGTTAAGGGCCCTCAGAGACCAGTACAGGGCCTGCAAAGGGCAGTTTGAGACCATCAGAGACCGAATTGGGCACTCAGAAGTCAGAGGCTAATGTGGATCCTTACAGGCCAGCATGGAGCCCTCAGAGGCTAGCGTGGGGCCCTAAAAGACCGACATGGGCCGTTGTTGGACTGCAGAGGCCATAAGAGGGCCCACAAAGGTCAATATGGGCCCTCAGAGGCCGATGCAGGCACTTAGAGGCCGGCATCAGGTCTTTAGAAGCCCGTGCGGGGCCCTCAGAGGCTAAGGTGGGTCCTTACTTACAGGCCAGCACGGGCCCTCAGAGGTCAGTGTGGGGCCCTAAAATACCGGCATGGGCCGGCGTTGGACCCCAGAGGCCAACAGAAGGCCATCAAAGGCCAAGATGGGCCCTAAGAAGCCGATGCTGACCCTTAGAGGCCGGCATCGGGTCTTCAGAATCCAGTGCGGGGGCCCCTCACTGGCTAATGTGGGCCCTTACAGGCCAGTATGGGGTCCGCAAAGGTCAGAATGGGACCCTAAAAGACTGGCACTGGCCGGCGTTGGACCCCAGAGGCCAGCAGAGGGCCCTCAAAGGCCAAGATGGGCCCTCAGAGGCCGATGCGGACCCTTAGAGGCCGGCATCGGGTCTTCAGAATCCAGTGCGGGCCCCATAGAGGCTAATGTGTGTCCTTGCAGGCAAACGGCAGCATGGGGCCCTCAGAGATCAGTGTGGGGCCCTAAAAGACCGGCATGGGCCGGCGTTGGGCCCCAGAAGTCAACGGAGGGCCCTCAAAGGCCAAGATGGGCCCTCAGACGCGGATGCGGGCCCTGAGCGGCCGGCATTGGGTCTTCAGAATCCAGTGCGGGGGGCCCTCAGAGGCTAATGTGGGTGCTTACAGGCCAGCATGGGGCCCTTAGAGGTCAGTGTGGGGCCCTAAAAGGCCGGCATGGGCAGGCGTTGGATCCCAGAGACCAGCGGAGGGCCCTCAAAGGCCAAGATGGGTCTCCAGAGGCCGATGCAGGCTCTTAGAGGCCGACATCGGGTCTTCAGAATCCAGTGCGGGGCCCTCAGAGACACTTTAATGCTAGTCTTGGGACTCGAGAGACAGAAATGAGGCCACCAGAGGCCGGTGTGAGGCTCTCAGACGCCTGTTAGGCCCCTGAGGCCGGTTTAGGGGCCCTCAAAGGCCAGTGGAGGGCCCTCAGAGGTCAATGTGGACGCTTGACCGCCACTGAAGGGCCCTCAGAGGTCAGTGTAGGACCCTCGAAGACTGGTATGGGAGCTGTTAATAGCTGGCGTGGGTTTCTCGAGCCTCGTGACAATCGAATACGGGCCAGGGCCCCATACGGCCATGGGGGCCCATCGGTTGTTTGGGGGGGGGGCTAAATGATATGATGGCCCCCCTGATTTGCCTTTGGGGGGGAGGCATGGCCCTGATGCCCCCCCCCCTGCGACCGCCACTGCCAATATGAGCAGACTGGAAAGAAATTGTGATAACTTTTTTTGGGAGATATAACCAAAAACGTGTTTTTGGAGTGATTTCTATGTTTTATTGTCTGATTATGCATCATGGCGTTCTATTATCCCGCGCCCCGTTGGGGTCTGCCGAGCAATTCGCGTCCAGTTGGGGGGGGGGGGCAATTTGGCCCCTAAGATCTCGAGAACCACGCAACATAGCGACAAGCGGCAAACGGTGTTGGATAGCCCCAACAGGGAACTACCTTGTGACCGAATTTCATTGACCTAGGTCAAACCGATGACGTCACAGGTCAATTCAAATGTCGAATTTTCACCGTTTACTGGCACAAGAAATGCGTTGTAAAATCGAGTAAAATGCATTTCATTGAAAATCATCGATGCAGAAATGTTCGTCAAACACATATTTTGCTATTTGAGGTCACTGATACCAGGTCAGGTCACAGAGGTCAGGCCACTGAGGGTCACAATATGAAAATATCATGTGATGCATGTTTTATGGTCCATTTTATATGCCAAATGCGATTATGTTGGTCAGACAGCCTTTGGGGTCACTTAAAATTATGTTCTGGTGAAGGTCAGGTCAAGGTCAGGTCAAGGTCAGGTCAAGGTCAGGTCAAATTAGGTCAAATTTCAAAGTTGATATTTTTGCAGTTGAAGTTTTTTCGCTATAACTTGGCCAAAAAAGGTACCTATTGAACTAAAACTTGGTGTGGATATAGAAGAGCGCAGGGTCTAGCACATATAGGGGAGAGTGGGGTAAGATGCCCAAAGACGCCCCACCCCCTCTAGCGGCAAAACAAAGAATCGAACCTGGAAATTAATGTTCTTAGCGTGAAGTGGAAGACTGCCATGGTAACTGCACAAAAATTTGCGAAGCTCAGTTGGGCAACGGCTGGCTGGTGATTGCATGTTTTTTATTTGCTTCTTTCGAAAAATATTTTGGTGTCAAAACATTGTAAATATCAAAGAAGGTAAATAATTTTTATGTCTCTTGCTATGGTCGTGATAACTGATACATTAACATGCGTGTACCTACTGTGTCCCAAACAGTTTGCTTCAGGGTATAGTTTTATGGCTAACAAATTGTACTGATTTAATGTTAATTCGGTACCTTGGGGTAAGATGCCCCCTGCCCTAATGGGGAAAGACGCCCCCCTAAATCCGTAGGCTGGCCTTCAAGGAACCCGTCAAATCATTTATTACATACTTGTGATGAGAGACAAAAGCCGATCTGGGACTATTGAGAGCCCAGTACGGTCGGGTGCTCCCCATGCCGGTCTCTCGGCACACACAGCGACTTTTTGGGCGGCATCTGACTCTGAGAGCCCTCACGACGGCCTCTGTGGGCCCCATTATTGGCTCCAAGGCCCCTCACGACATCCTTTGAGGGCTCCCATGTTGGCTCCACGGGCCGCGCTGGCATCTGAGGTCCCCACGATGCAGGCTCGAGGGCCCTCAAGCATCATGGAGACCTGTAAGAGCCCCACAGCGGTCTCCGAACGCCACCACGGAGGCTTGTTTGGCCGCGCTGAACTATGATGGCCCTGACGTCATCGTCAGGGCCATCGTCAGGACCTTTGAAGCCCCTTACGACTACTTTTGAGGGCCCTTACGATGACGTTTAGTGTCTATTGCAGGCTCGAAGGGACTACTGATTCGTTCAGGGCGGCCAGGCGATTCACGTGCCCATTTATGTCACTTATAGTGCAGGGGGGCATCTTCCCCAACGCCAGGGGGCGTCTTTCCCACCCTGTGGGGTAAGATGCCCCCTTTCACTTCTTCAGGAAAATGCTTAATAGCATAAAAGCTATCATATTTCAGGCATGAAAGTGTGTTATTTTTGGAGAAAAATGATGTCGGCTTCCGTTGAAACTCCAAGTTTTTGCTTTCCGATCGTCATTTTCGAATAATATATGAGATTGTAAAACCCTGGGCATCTTACCCCACTCTCCCCTAGGTATTCCGGTTTCTTCGAAATTCGGAAAAATTTTGGGATTTTTTTTTGCGTTTTTCTAAAAAAAATTCAACTTTTTTGAATTTTTGGGGGTCAAAATCCCAAAATTTTGAAAATTGAAGATAACAGTTTTGTAGCGCCGTCTTTTGCCTACATGACCATATAAAGAACTTCGAAATTACTTGGTAACTAGCTTTTGTGAGCGCTTCAAGATTTCATGTTTTTTGCTCATTTTTGCTCGAACATGACTTCAGCTTGACCTCAATAACTCCTGACCTAAGGTGACGGCTAAGACTTGAAATTTTGTGTGAAGGTGTCAAATTGATGCCCGGGAAGGTACTGAAAACTTGGCGGCGCTTGCAATTCAGGAAAAAACACGGGGGGGCAAATTCCCCCCCCCCCCCAGCGGGGCGAGGGTTATTGGCCATATCAGGCTAGCGACTTTGATGTGTTTTGAACAACTTTTGTCTAACGCTTATAATGCCGGGTTGGTTCGTGTTGAATTATGTCTTGCTGGAGCGCGAGGCGTTGTTCTTTGACCGAACTACGTGATGGGGTAAAACATTTAATGCTCCAGTAAGTCGCGGGGCAAAAAGCGTCTTACCTCATGTGTTGTTAGGACTGCTCACTTCCTAATGTTCAGTAGCTAGCAAACAGTATGCTTCTATGCATTTATATGTATTTTTTCAGCAACTGGATGGCAAATAAAGTATTTTGTTAACATTTGCATTGCAATAATTTATTATTTGCCCTTATGAGGCAGGTGAAAAAGCTGCTCATACAATAGCGTTATAGCTGAACAGTGAACACCTGATAGGATGGAATGTGGTAACTTCAGTGCCGTGCCTCCAGAGGTCTAACGGACATCTCATATAAGATTTAGCCAACTACCGTGTTTAATCTTTAAATCTAGAGTATGGGGTTTCTTTCCCCAGACCGTGGGGCGTTTTGCCCTGGGGTTGGGGCAAAATGCCTCATTTGCAGTTGCTTCACAAATCACTTCCTAGCTGGGAGTCCGATCATAAGTGAAATAATTTGAGGGGTGGAATTTAAAGTAAAATGTCCAAAGAACGCATTGAGCACAAATTTAGCCTTCCAGGTCATGTGAGACAGAAGTTACTTGTAGCAAAATAAATTATCCGGGGCGTCTTGCCCCAGGCTACCCCATTTTAATTACATGCATTGTCGCAAAAAGTGAATGATCGATAACACCGGCAACAAAACAAATTGCGTTAAGTTTTGTCAGATAGTTATGTAAAAATTGCAATTTACGCCATACGCCATGTTTCCCGTGGTCCGTACACATTGTATCTTCAGTGGTCTAGCTTCACCATACATGACATTGCAGGTACTGTTATATTCAGCGATCAGTCACGTTAGTATAAAGCCTGAGAGGACACAGTGGACACCGTTCGTTTGAATCACCACACTGGGGGGTTAAGGGTCCGGCGCCGGTGCCGGCCGAGCAGGTGCGCTCAGACGCTGATCAGGATCGGCTCGTGGCCGGTGGCGGCGGCAAACCTCCGGAACTCGGTCGGACTCAGGCCCGTGGAGGCCTCGTTGGTGAGCGGGTGACACCACAGCATCTCTACCGAGCCGTCCAGCAGTTTGGCGTCCACAAGCAGCGTCACGGCGCGCTCCGTGTCGTTGGCCACCGCCAGCGGCGTCACACAGCCCTGGCGCACACCCAGCCGAGCGGCCAGCTCCGACTCGTCGCCGAACCGCAGCTCCTTGGCGCCGTCCAGCTGGCGCGCCACGTCGGCCAGCCGGAACTGGGCGTCGTGCCGAGCGGTCAGCAGGAACAGACGCCGCCGGCGGTCGCGCAGGAAGAGGTTTTTGGTGACAGCGCCGCGCACGGCGGCCAGGTGCGGCATCATCGCCTCCACGGTGAACACGGCCGGGTGGGTGACTGTCTCGGCGTGGATGTCCAGCTTGGCGAGCAGAGCCATCAGCCGCGCCTGGTCCAGGTGGCCGCCGCCGTCACCGATAGCCGGGGGCGAGCCGGCGCCGCCAGCCGCTCCCGTGCCGCCAGCCGCTCCCGTGCCGCCAGCCGCTCCCGCGCCGCCAGCCGCCGCTGGAGTCAACCCACCGCATGACGTGAACGGTTCGTAGGAACGTGACTTTAAAACCTCAAACAAAAACTCAGAGGCAAGCCATGTCTACCGGGTGTACAGATCATATAAATAGGCACCAAAAGACCAATGGGTTATATTCACTGGAAACCAAATGCAGCGGGTGTTATAGCTGAACAGGGGCCCAATCTGTCCGGCTGATTGCACAAACCCGCAGCCGGGTAACAATGACTGACCGCCATCGGTCTGCCCTCTCCCAGCAGCCGTCGCCGGACAGCGGCCCATGGCGCGCTAGGTGCGCTCACCTAGACCGGCGGCGACGGACACCCGGTCGCGCCAGGCGGCCACGTTGGCCGGCGCCGGGGACACCTTTGAGCAGCGCAGAGCCGACAACAGGACGCCGTCGATCAGTGCCAGCTGGTCGCCCAGCAAGAACGGCTGGCGGCCCAGCAGGCCGTCCAGCGTGCCCAGCACCTGCGAACACAGCCGCAGGTCAGCACACCGGACCAGCACACAGGACCAGCGCGCGGAGCCAGGACACAGGACCAGCAACCAGAATCAGCAAACAGGACCAGCACACAGGACCAGCGCACATGACCAGTGCACAAAAACAACACATAAAACCAACATAAAACCAGGACTAGCATTCAAGACCAGAACACATTGCTGAACGCTGCCACCAGCAGCCGCAGGCCGTATTCAGCCACTAAGCTCACTGCGCTAAGCTACAGGGTGGGCTATGATTTTATATTCACCCTCTTCTCCCTCCACACATACAAGAAAATACGGCGGCTTTAAGAGTACATTGAGCCGTGAAATTAATCACCGTACCACCGCATGCTAACAGCAAATAAAAAATATTGCTGAGACACAGTAATTAATGGAATGTATCAGCATGTTTATGACAATGATTTAAGCCATTCAAATTTGACATGTTGGGCACCATCCACCGTGCGGCCGCCCGGCGTCGATCGGCGTGTCACTGACCGCCTTTTTCTCGGCGACGGAGCCGTTCATCAGTCGGTCAGCACGCTCCAGATGAAGATCAATGAGCGCCGCCCTCTCGGCGCCGGCCGCCTCGTACTGTCCGGGCAGCAGAGCGCGAGCCAGATAGCGGAACAGCTGCTCCTCGCCGACCAGCGGGCAGCCCTGTCCGGCCGGCGACACGAGCAGCCGCGGCTCACCCACCTCTGCCGCAGGTGACCGGGGCGCACGGAGAGCGTCATAGTGGTGCACAGGCCAGTGACAGGGCGAAACGGCGAAACGTGACAGGAAACACGGCAAAACATGGGTACTGTGCAGACATTCTAGAACCCATTTCCGCTGTTGTAAGAAGTAATATAGGCGGCGTCAAAGCCTTATTCATCAATAAGTCCAAATTTCATAAATGCAAATGCGTACGTAAACAAGTAATAAGTACCTAGCAAAACATTACTGCTCCTACTAAACCCCTACATTATAAAACCAAGACAATCCCCATCTCCACGCTAACATGCAACGTGTCACTGATGGGCCGAGGGCCATCAGCGTGAAGGCGAAGCCTCTCCTCCCGTCGTCCCGTCATCACTAGAAAGGCCGAGCGCCGTTGGGCGCTGGCTGGGTAGTGGGTGAACGGCGACCGTACCTGGCTTCCAGATGAGGCGGATGTGCGCACCGCCGGCGGCTCCCCTCCAGTGGAAGGCGTCCAGCAGGTGCGGCGGCACGGCCGGACACGTGGAGTGCACGTGCGCCGTGAGGGTGACGGTCGGGGCCAGCAGGCGCAGCAGCAGCAGCGAACACGGCGGCCGCTCGGCCGAGGCCACCACCACCAGCTCGGCCCGCTGCCGGCGGCCCGAGCTAGCCGTCAGAGTCGCAGAACCGAGCCAGCTGTCTACATCCATGTGGCCACGCTTTTAGATCCTTCTACGTTTACCTATGCACTATGTTGCCTGTTATAAAGCTATGACCATAACTGCGTTTTTTTTCTCAAACCACAACAGGGCAACATTAATAAAGTTTTATGTTTTATGTTCCCTGTTAGGGGAAGTTGGGGGAACGCCGAATACTTTTTTTCTGACGCCCGTAGCACGCAAGGTAGACAACATAAGCTATTCTTGTTGGCGTCATTCGAGAGGCCAGTCTTTTGTCTTTCAAACATACCAGGCGCATTTGATGAATTCGCATACCGTTAAGCGCAAAAACTAAAAATATCAAAGAACTGACTTTTTCGGCGTTGCCCCGGACTGCGGGGAAAGCCGAAAATGGGATAAATGATCTACGAGGAATGCTGACATTGATGTTTTGCCAATTTATCTCAAACTTTATCCAAAATTCATCAAAGCTGACACGCGTTTTAAGAGCTTGAGGACGCTTGGTGCACACTGGAAGTTATAATTGTGTGATATAATAAAAAATGCTAGGTAAATCATTCCTTATAGGTAACAGGCCGTTGTGCCGGCTGAAAGTGTAATTTGTTTGACTAAAAATACGCGTTGCTTTTCTACAGCAGTAAAGTCCACGTAGCGTGCTTTAACGTGCGTAATTGCACGTTTTCGGCATTACCCCAGCCAGCCATACTTTCATTTGCAGGCCCATAACTTTTAAACGTGCTGTATAAATTTCAAATAGGCAGCACACTTATGCAAAGACATGCTGAAGATTACTTGACCGAATTGGCCAGACAAACGGTAGCATAATGAGTAAGAAATGCAGCTTCAAAGGCGCATGTAGTACAAGGGAAACGTACCTTGAAAACGCTTTTGGCGCCCTCACAGCCGAAGTATTCCAAATGACAACTCGTAACAAACATGCGATAATTGTAGTCACTTAAGCTTCATAGCATCACTGAGACGTGGCATCCATGTCGTACGGTTTTAGAAATATCTCGAATTTCGGCTTTGCCCCAACTCCGGCATTGCCCCAACTTCCCCTATAGATTTCCGAACAACTGCGTTTCGTCTCAGACTACAACAGGGCAGCATTAATAAAGTTTTATGATCAAATACTAATATTATGTGTTGATCTATTCCAAAATGACACACCATCCGAAGAAACCCTTAGAATGAAGGAATCAAACAATGACGAGATTTGCAGCTTGTAGGTTGTACATGTCACTGCTCCGTTAAAGGGACTATCCCACCTTCTAAAATGTTGTTAAAACCAGTTAAATTGTGCCCGACTTTATAGATTGGATGACCAGGAACACGGTTCTGGCATTTATTTTTCATTAAACATCTTAGGCTTCCCATATTCCAAACACAAACTTTCAAATATGTGACGTCACAGCCCAAAATTACCTCCTTCCCCAGGCCACATTACTGTCATAAAGCTGATTCTTTTTACTCTGTAGGCACCACAACAAAGTTCAGACCAAGTTTTAAGCGATTTTTCAACGAACAAGCCCATTTAAATCAGAATGACTAAACGAGATGACGTCACACTAACGGTCGCTCCATGTTGAAGATAGGGCCTTGTACAAGGCCCATTTTCAAATGAAGGGAACGAATTTCTTCAACACCAAGAGGCCGCGGGGGTTGCAACCTAGATAGATAGTGGTTTCTGAACCTCGCCGCAAACTTGGCTATCTCAACTCAAACCCCATGTTAAAGGTGGGATAGTCCCTTTAATGGCAGAATGAGGAGCAAAAGACTACTCACATGGTCTAACGGCAGGCAGGTGTTTGTGGCCACCACTGCACCGACTCCCTGCCCCGGAGCGGATCGGGCGGACCGCTGCCGCACGGCCTCCTCCACACGACAGCGTAGCTGCGCCAGTTGGGAGAGAATCGCCTCCTGGCGCCTCTCCAGCTGCGCCAGCTCCGCACCACTCGCACCAGCAGCCTGCTGCAGAAACGCCAGATGATTTGACCGTACCATATTATGTGAGGCACTAGCAGCCTCTTTTGATTGACAAGTGCAATGACTTTCACGGTAACGAATAGATCATCAGCGTAATTGAGCAGCTAGGAATAATACTCACTCATCTAAGCTACCAATGAAGATCATGGCTCTAGTTACTAGTATATAGGTACCTAGTTAGAAAATGCTCTCACCTGTAGTGATGATGCAACAGAGCTTGACTGGATGGGAGGCAGCCGGTACATACATGTCGGCAGGCTAACAGCAAAGGCAGTGCTGTCCAGTATTGGCGCCAAACGGTACATCGCAGTGGACGCCATAATCCTGTCAAAGAATTAAGTTAAAATTGTCTGATGACTCGTGGGGGAAGGAAGATGAAGGACGCAGGATGTAACAATGCTGAAGCCTGAACTGAACGGTTAGATCATAAATGGGCACAACATTATCTGAGAAAGTGATGTATGAGCGACAGTGGGGTCAGCCCTGCCAAGGAAAATTGGCCTTTCATTGTAGCCTTCTCTATAAAAAGTGCAATGGTCTACACATTCTGGGGAATATTGTAGGTCGTGTTCAGAGCAGAGTGGTGCAGATTCCAGTCTCGTTGCCCATTGGTCAAGGCTGGTGGAGATTTGTCACCTTCGCTGGTGCAGCTCACCAACTCTGTTGCCTTCGCAATCTGGCCAATGGGCGCACAAACTGTTTACTGACCCACACCGATGCACACCGTGATGGAAGGAGAATTTTTACACACCCCTCTAAGTGACACAAGCCTTTACACCACCCTCAGAACTGCAGTAATTCACAGAATAAGAACTTGAAAGGAAAGAACACGCTGACGCTATGGAAAAGTCATGAGAACTGAGCACTAAAATCATTTTTTATACTTAATCACTGCACTAACAACCCACCAACTGCCAACAAACTTACACTTTGTAAGTACCTACATTGTAATTGTTTGGTAAATATTATTAGAGTAGGTCAGGTTAGGTAAGTAACCCTCGCATGTCGGATGAATCCTCCCATGGTTTTCCCGAGGGCTGTTCACGGGGCCTGTGTGCGGTCGGACCGCACACAGCCACGGAGCTCCGCCCACTTCGTCCCTACGTCAGCCTTCCGTCACCGCACACAGCGATCGCTGTGGCCGGTCGGGACTGGCCACAGCGGACCGTCCACCGCACGCAGCCGTGACGTCAGAACCGCCTACCCATCCCCTACCCCCACGCCTGCTGGACGCACCGCACACACCGCACGCAGCAGTGTGCGGTGCCCGTGAACACCCCTCCGAATAACTCGCGCAAAACGCGGCCGATCGCGACAAAACTTTCAGTACCGAGTTGATCAATTCTACACCTTAGGCCTCTTGCACCAAAATACCTAGCAAGGTAGAATCGGCAAAATACCTACCTAGTTAAACTACCTACGGCGGTAACTTCTCTTGCACCATCCTACCTACCTACCTAGGTAAATTTGACAGCTCGCGTTTTTAGGATTTGTTTTGATTGGCTGTTTGGCGACGAATTATTTGTGGGCGCAAACAAATAGTAACTAAAGAATACAATTAAATGGATATTGTTTTTATTAATATACATTTTGGTATTATGAAATCATTTTTCATTTACGTAAATACCGATAGAAGTTATTTTGATATTAAATTACTTGAACAAATCAGCTTCGTTTCCATGACAACGAGTTAGTCTTCAACCTGGCTGTTCTGCTACGGAGGTTTATCGCCTTGGTACGGAGAAGCACCTCTGTGAACCCATGGAGCATTTGGTCAACGAACTACTGTTGTAAACTCAGTTTCAGTGGTTTAAAACTGGTTTAAAATTATTCAGCTGTATTTTATCATCCCGGAAAGACATCTTTTATTTGGATGCTAGCTGTTAAGCGTTGTTTTATAAGGAGCGTCATGAGCGTGGTTTTTGTCTTCCGTGTTTCTAAGCACGATCGTTTTGGGGGAATTTCTCTTATATAGGTCGCTCTGTGTGGCTTATTTATAATTTTTATGCTGATTTCGATCATTCCTCGTGCCCATCCTACCAGGCCTTTTGCCACTTACACTCATCAAGAAAGGAAAAAACTAGATTTTCATTGGGACTAGGCAGTGGCGGCGGATTCGATTTTGGCGTGGGGGGGGGGGGGCAAGATCCCTGTCGAGATGATGTCATAGGCGGATCCAGAAAGGCGTTTTCGACGCTGTAGGGGACATACCCCCCCCCCCCAAGTGTCCAAAATCCAAAAACTCCTCGGATTTCGATTCCTTACGGATCTACTGCTGAACAATATAAAGAAAAAACAAATCTGATAAAAGTGTTATTATTAGGAAACATAAGGTACGTTTTGTCTATTTCGGGCGATGCAGGAGCCAGGGGAGGGAGAGAAAATATTTGCTTTAAATGCCCGCTCCCTGGTTCCGCCAGTAAACGATGCAACGCTTTTCGTATTGCTGTATTAGAAAAAAAAAACTCCAATGGGAAAAGTTGTGCCATAACCCGATCGCATATTAGATGTTGAAGAACGGTTCCAAATCTTTAACAAGTAGGCGAGCGCTATTCTTCAATGAGGTAACTCGTTACCATTTCCTCTGTTCATTTCCCGTTCGATTTCCGTTTAACCTTCCTTTAAAAATTATTTCTGAGACAGATATCAACTGAAACTAGCTCACAGCGGGAGGAGACCGCTCAAACATTCAGAGACAGTCGGTCGCATCTAAACCTATTGGGACAGCGATCCGCCAGAAACCCTCCCCAAGGCAGTAGTTCGCCAACTAAGCTCACCGAGACGGGCTGTCTCGATGGGTTTATACAGTTAGCCTACAGCAAGGCTTAACTAAGGCCCAAACGCTCGTCAAGCTGGGAACGGAGGGCTGAGGCGAGGGAGCGGCGGGCTAGGGTGAAGGAACGGTGGACTGGAATGAGGATCCAGAAGCTCTGGGTGGGGCGTTTCTTTATCGGGGCTTTAGGGTGCGCTGACTGCGGTAAGGTCCAAATTATCACACCAAATTTTGCCACGACATCTACCGATTTAGGCACTCGAGAATCAGCGGCCAGTGATATCTGCAAAGACGAAGCATTTCCAACCCTAGCTTCAGCCTGGTGTTAGGGTGCCTCAGGTGGCTTTAATTACAGTTGCACATACCAAACGACCTCAGTGCAGCCAGTCTATGACCGAAACTATTCGGAACAGACTTCAACAAAAAGTGAGACAAGGTTAGTGCTTTCGTTAAGTGTGCCATAGTCTAATAGACTTGGGCCCCGTTGGCTTGACCCACTGGAAGGCAGGGCTGAAAAAAAGTGTCTCGGTGGTTGTCGTCCAAAGGCAAACGGGCTTATTTGGTTGTCAACTCAAGATATCTAACCCGCACCCCGCTGAGGGTCCTTGATTTCTACGCCCTGCTCGGGAAGGGGGGTCAAGCACCCGTCCTTTTAGCTCGGATCTTGGTTCACGTAGTGACAAGCAGTAAACGGCATTCGAAAGACCGTCCAAAATAAGGGCGACGAAAATATGACATTCGTTTTATAGGCCAAGTCAAAGGTCAGGTCACCAGAGGTCATTAAATGGAAGATATTGCCTTTCATTTTTTTTTTACACCGACGCACAACTCGGGAGCCAATTATATAGAGCTATACAACGCCACGGAAAAGATTAGATAGCCCTTTTGAGTTTTGACTCTTTCGGTGACCCTTCGACGGTGCCACTGGCCGACTTCCACTCACCTTTGAACAAAACGCGCTCAAGTTGGTACATTTCAGTCGTGCAGACGCCACGGACCCTGCGTGCGAATATATTATAATTCCGCTCCTTTTTGATAGCGCAGGGTGCTCAGCCGTCAGGCTCAATTGTCCGACGATCCGTGTCCCTCGACCTCGGAAGTCCTTTATCCTCGTGGGCATGACATGGCGTGCCCTCCCCTCGGCCTCATCAAAACATTACCGGCACTGACACGGTCCCACTCAAGATGTCCCGCCGCGGACCTACCCCCAGGCGCCACCGGGGTGGGTTTTGACGTCACAAAAGGAGCCCCGGCGGATTGGAGGGGACGCTAACTGGCCGCCGGGCGGGGGGCGGCGCTGAAGGGTGCGCGCAGGGGCCGGCCAAGTCCTGGAATGTACTAGATTTGCCAGACACGTATTGCCAGCGGACAACCACGGCGACCACTTGGTATGCCATTGGTCGTCTTTATGAGGGTCGCCGATCGGCCGTCCGAACGATGGTCGAACGACGCAGTATATACTAAATAGCTACGGGGAGTTGGAATATGTCTGTAGCTACCAGGAAATTTTCCATTGGGATGCCGCCGCGTACGCCGGAGGTAACGGACTCGAGAACTGCGTGAGTAGATGTGATGGGGAGGGACAGAGAATGGTTTGCGTGGGCAAAGGCGATTGGGTTGCGTGGGCAGAGGCGGATGGATTGTGCGCATCTATGTAACCGCGGACTAGGAGTTAATCAGTTCAGGCGCTGCGCGTGGTCGTCATAAGATCGTCTTATCGGTTGTCGTCGACAACGACAAAACGATACAATTTTTCACCCCTGCTGGAAGGTGGTAGTTATCGGACGCTGCGGGGCATACTCATTTTTCCAAAATGCCTCAGATTTTGCTTTCGTGTTCATAGGCGGCGGAACGGGGAGGGCACCGGGGCACCGTGCCCCCTTTGATTTTGGCATTTTAACGTTGGCCCTATGGGCGTTGCATGGAAAGAATGGGACCAAAAGTCGGCAGTCCCCCCCCCTCCCTTAACCCTATTAGTGACAGGCTCCTGGCTACCCCCTATTTAGTGGCAGGGGGGCTGTTTACGACCCCCCCTTGATATCTCGAGATCTAACGGGCCGATTTTCAAAATTCAAACGGCATTCGATTTCGCTCAACGTGATCTACATTTCTAAAAAATAAAAAGTAAAAAATGTCAATAGGGGGGGGGGAGGGTAGAGGGGGGTAAAAACGGGCAAATTGCAGATACATTTTAGACTGTTTATCACGGCCAGGTTTCTGAACCAATCTTAACGCAACTTTTGCCGATCGATAGAGAATGAACCAGGAATTCACATGGATCCTAAAAATATGCATTTTCAAAAATCATAGGCGGATACAGATCATTGAGATTGGGGGTACACAAAAAGTATAGTAAATAAGGTTTTTGTTGGTACTGTTTCTAAAAAGGGTGGTAATGGTCTTGTTATGTTATAATTTTCTTATGAGAGAACGCCTAAAATTGTATTGGTAATGCATAGGCGGTGTCAGGGCACCTATGTTGGGAGGTAAAACATAACCCCCCTTTTTGGACGCCCATGGATCCGCCTATTATAGCAAAAACGTGTCAAAAGAGGATGCACAATAACTGTATATGTTATCACATGATACCTTTTATTCACTGTTCGTAAAACTGGTGCAGCATCGTGATCTTCGCCCAAATGACTCGCTTCACGAATAGGACCCCCCAATTCCCAGTGCTCTGGAGCCGCCCCTGGTAAAGTTATGAACTTGAAATTTTCAGGGAATGTGCCCAATTTAGTTTTAGGAAAAGTCAGAAAA